AGCAGGAAATAAAATAAACAGCAGGGATGCTAAATGATTTTTTCCCCCATAATACAATCAGTTTAATGAAGTTAAGATTTATAACAGAATCTGAAATTACGTTACAATATTAGATTGTCATTTGTGTTTTGCTTGGTGGTTTTTTTTAGACTCTCAGGCATGTAGAAAAGCCTGGGTTTTTTTTGTCTGGCCCTGGGGAAATGCCAAGCACCCTCCCAGCGGTGCTAGGAACGCTCAGCTCTCCAGGGAGGCCTGTGTTGTTAAGGGCACTCAAAGAATCTATTACTCAGTTCCATGGGGGAGGGTTTGATCTCTGTCCCGTTTCTTTTTGCTTTTATTTTCCTCTCTTCCCATTATCCTCCCTTGTGTCTGAGCCTGCTTCCCAAGGGCCCTTCAGGCATCTACAGTCCAGTTGCAGGTTGCCTGCAGAGCTTGGAATCAGCAGCTGTAATGGGTATGGTAAGGCATTTTGGACATGGTGTCTTGAAAATCTGGGCGTCTGTGTTTCTTTGCCCTTCTGGCTATTCTAGTGATGCAGCTCCTCGTTTTCTCTGTTGTTCTGCTCTCCTCTGCCCCATTTGAAACATTTTTTTCCACACTTCTAAATCCCATCGCTTGGTTTTGCGCTGAATCTTCTCTGTAGCCCTCCACTCTCATAACCGTTAAGCTGTTTTTTGAGGGCAGAGGTGGAGGCTTGCACTGTTGAAACCCTCGGGTACTCTTGGCTTTAAGCCTAATTTGCTTGCAGTGTCCCTGAGCAAGGACTGGGGGGAGAGGTAGGTGAGCATTAGATGCCTGGTGTGCCTCAGGTGGTGGCTTCGTGTGCCACAGGTTCACAAACACAGGCACAGAAGCTGAAAGGATGTGGTGTGCGTAGCTGCTAGTCAGCCTTGGCTGTCGGGTGTGCGAGAAAGCCTGACTTACCAGCACAGCAGTGCTGTGCAGCTGTACCTCGCTGTGCAGGGGAGGAGTAGGGGGGTTGGTGAACACTTGCTTAAGCACAGTTTTAAATATATTATATCTTTTCTGTCAGAGGAGGTTCACTGCCCCTCCCAGCCCCCCATCCCCATTGTGTGGATGACTTGAGTACCTGGCAATTTTCAGTTCGTCCTACAGCCTCTGCAGCTGGGACAGTGCTGTACTTCTGACTTTAGTGGGGAAGAGGAGGTGCAGGGGGCAGAGTGGTTTGTCTATCTTGTGTAAGAAATTCCTGAAAGAGCAGATCACTGTCAGCATGTGTTGGTCTACTTTTCTACACAAAGCCCCTACCTCTTTCTTCACTTCCTGGAGAGCTGGTCTCTGAGGCTTTTTGTTGACAGCTTTGCTGCTTCCTAGCCTCTATCTGTTGTTATTTGTTTCTGGATGATGCTTTGTTTATTTGCTTGAGGGCTTTTTATTTTTTTAGCCACTTGCAGTTGCACTGGATCACACCTTACTCCACAGCTAGTGGGACTTGAGTTTTGACTCGCTGTGTGTAGGTGGGTTAGAATCTGGCCCTTGTGTAATATGCTGGAGATAGAGACTGCTTTCTGTCTCAAGCCTTGTAGTGCCAGGGAGCTCTATTCATGGCTCAGGACTTGGCTTTGCTTCATAGAGTACAAATCCACATGCGTAAAACAGAA